TTATGTGGGCGTTGCAAGCCCAATTCGAAGATTGGAACGCCAGACCCAAAGCGAGGGTGTTCCTGCACACCCTTAAGCAGGGAAAGCGATCGGTGAGGGAGTATTCTTCGGAATTTAAGCTACACACAGCCAAAGTGCAAACTTGGCCTGATCCTGTGTTAGTGCAACTATACCGAGTGGGACTGAACCCGGAGATTCGAGAGACTGTCCTGAGAGCGGTTGATGCAGTATCCCTCCCGGCCTGGATGCAAGAGGCAGAAAGCGCGGAAACCTGCCTGCACACTTCGTCTAGACAACGCGACGGCAGGTCAGCCGACCCCTCAACCAACGAAAGGAAAAGCACCGTGGCAAGTGGAATCGGCCTGGGAGCAGTGCAGGAGGCAAGGGTTTTGCCTGAAATGCGGGGAGCAGGGCCATTTCACGGCCGACCGCGCCGGATCAGGGCCTGTGAAACGGGCCCAGCGAACCAACATGAGTGTGCCCCGCTATGCCAGCGAAGAAGGCGACTGGGAAGCCAAAATACGCCAAAGCGTTGCAAGCAGCTCCCGAGGAAGGGGAGACGGAATCCAGCGGAGAGGACCCTGAGCCGGCAGGAAACGGATTGGTCCTCCTGTAAGAGGCGCGGAGCAGCAGGGCCCAATCCCAGAGGCGCCTAATGTGGTGAACAGTTTTCCCTCCCTCTTTTTCGTGACTGTGACTTTGATTAACCCCAGCCTCGGCACGCATATATGGGTGAGAGCCCTAATTGACTCGGGGTGCGGGAGAGACCTTATCAACCCCTCCCTGGTTACAGGGTTGGAGGTTGGGGTGGTAAAATTAAAGGATCCACTTATATTTACCCAAATGGATGGCTCTACAATGAAAGACCCTTGTGAATACGAGACTGTGCCGTTGCGGATTGGGTTGGGGGAACACTGGGAAAATAGAGCGTTCATGATCCCCTCAACCGCCCGGTTCCCCTTAGTCCTCGGGGCCCCATGGTTGCACGGGCACGACCCCTACATCTTATGGGACGAAGGGAAAGTACAGTTCATTTCTCCTAAATGCCAGAGCCACCGGTGGGACTCGGAATGGGGCCAACGGCCAATAGCTGAGGGTCCTCGTGTGTGCTTGGCTCAGAAGGAGCTGTTAACCATTCCCCCCAAGTATCTGGATTTGGCTAAAGTGTTTGAGGAGGAAGAGGCGGAAGAGCTCCCCCCTCATAGACATTCAGACTGTAGCATTGAACTGTTGCCAGGGCAGAAATTGCCAAAGGGGCGCATTTATGCAATGGGCCCTGCCGAAAAGGAAGAACTACGCAAGTTTACTGACAAAAACTTAGCCAGAGGGTTCATCCGACCGGCTTCCTCCCCCTTTGCGGACCCAGTACTATTTTGAAAGAAAAAGGATGGGGGGCTAAGACTCTGCACGGATTACTGGGGCTTAAATGCAGTGTCGTCTACTAACGCTTATCCCATGCCATTGATCAAAGACTTGCTCGCCGAGGTGGCCAAAGGGAAAATATTCTCCAAACTAGACCTTCGAGATGCCTACTTTCAGGTGCGCATCAAGGAAGGGGACGAACATAAAACTGCTTTCAACACCCCCCTGGGTCAATTCGAATACCGGGTGATGCCTTTTGGCCTTCAGGGCCCCCCGGAGGTCTTCATTAACTTAATCAATGAAGTTTTACACAAGCACTTGTTCAAGGGGGCGCTTGTTTACCTTGATGATATCTTGCTGTACTCCCCCGACCTACCTTCACACGTGAAATTGGTGAGGAACGTCTTGACCACGTTGCACAAGCATAAACTGTTTGCCAAACTGTCAAAATATGAATTTCATAAAACGCAAATTGCCTTCTTGGGGTATCGGATTTCTGACCGGGGCTTGGGCATGGACCTGGAGAAGGTTCAAGATGTTTTGGGGTGGGATGCATCAGTTTGCACAATATCCCTGCTGCTATGCCTTTGCTGTAACGCTTATCTCTACAGATGTGCAGGAGGAGGTTGTGTTGTCTGGAGGGCTCCTTCCTTAAAACTATGGGGAAGGGCCCTGAGGCTACAAAGCCAAGCGCCACGCTACCATGGAGCAATGAGTGTCAAGAAGCGTTTGATCGCCTAAAGGCCTTATTCACCTCAGAACCGGTGCTTGCCCACACCGATGAAACGAAAAAATTTATTGTGCAAACTGATGCGTCTGATGTTGCCATGGGGGGGGGGGCAATTTTGCAGGAGGAGGTGGATGGTGTGTTACATCTTTTAGCTTACGTGTCCAAGAAATTCAATGACACGGAACATAACTGGTCAGTCTGGGAGGAGGCGGGGGCAATAAAGCTTGCCCTATCCACATGGAGGCATTGGCTGGAGGGGGCGAGGGTCCCGTTCGAGGTTTGGACTGATCACAAGAACCTTGAGACTTAAGACGCCTCGGTGCCTCAATGCTAAACAGCTGCGATGGGCTGATTTCTTTTCCAAGTTTCAATTCACCCTGCACCATTTCCCGGGGTCTGCAAACTCGTTGGCCGACGCCCTGTCCCGCCTTCCCCAACACGAAAGCCAATGGGATGTGATCTTAGACTCAGTGTTCACACCCTCTATGTTGGGCAGGGCGGTGACAACTCGCAAACAGGCTCGTCGGGCTGCTCCACTGCCAACGGAACCTACTGGGGCAGGTGAGGGGGGAAAAGACTCTTGGCACAGTAAATTCGCCTCCACTTTTTCGGAGGAGGATAAAGCGGTTATGGAAGCGGAGGGGGATTTTGAACTCAGGGAAAATGGCTGTTAGTACCGGGGTCATAAGATGTTCATTCCCCTCTCCCTCAGGGGGGAGGTGTTACAGGCAGTGCATGGCTCCAAACTCTCCGGACATTTGGGCTTTGTTAAATCACTGCAGCTGCTCTAACGGCAGTTTTGGTGGCCCCATATGTGCAAGGACTTATCCTCTTTGTTCAGTTGTGCCAAATCTGTGCCATGAGTAAACCCTGGCCGGGAAAACCTCCGGGACTATTGCACCCACTTCCGAACCCCAGTTGACCCTGGGAAGTCATTTTGGTGGACTTTATAACTGACTTACCACCAAGCAAATCTATGACTGTAGCGTTTCTCATGCACGTGGTGAGACTACATATGCTCCCCACTAAAGTGATATCTGACAGGGGAACCCAATTTGTCTCCCGGGAGTTGAACGTGGCCTCAGTAGCGCTTACCATCCAGAGACTGACGATCAAACGGAAAGAGTCAATCAGACCTTAGAACAATATTTGCTTGTTTTGCCAATTACCAACAAGACAATTGGCATGACTTGTTGCCCCTAGCCGAATTCTGTTATAATAATACGTGTCACTCCTCGATGGGGATGTCCCCGTTTAAGGCATTGTATGATTATAACAGCCCACCCGTCCCATTTCTGGACAGGGATAAGGACATGGGATCAGGGGATGCTGCTCAATGGTGTAAACAATTGCGGGACTCTTGGCCTCTACTGTGTAAGACTTTGACAGCTGCCAAAGAAGCCTATAAGGCGCAGGCTGATAAGAGAAGGGTGGAGGGTTGGGCTCTACAGCCTGATGACTCTGTGTATGTTTCTACAAAAAAATATCAACATGTTGAGGCCTAGTCGGAAGTTGGGATGGAAATACATTGGGCCGTTTAAAGTTAAAAGAATCATCAATGATTTTGCCTTCGACGTGGACTTGCCGAAAAATTTGAGAAAATTGCATTCTGTATTTCATTTCAG